CTGTCTCCATTCATCATATTTCTTAATATCATGAAAATTTATTCATTCAGTCCTAATGGACCATTGCTACCAACTAAAATAATCCTAACATTTTTATTTCCTGATCCAGGTGATTAAAATCTGCGAAACACAGACATTCAACTTGTATTTTGACCCCTTAGGTACGATTAACAGAGAATTTCGAAAAGGACTCCATATTAGAAGGTTTACAATGCATCTCTCTGAACAACTTCGTTCCCTTTTAGTACTAGGAAAACAAAAATGGGTACATAACCAGCGATCGTAATACTAATTTCGGCATTCTCTTTAATTAATTACTTTACGGAGCTATCCAATTATGCAGTATTGCCAAACTGCAAAGCTGTTACCTAAAACCCTAACCAATAAATCGCCAATTAAAAGTGCCACTCGAATAGGAGAACCTCCAGATGAACCATTTAGCTATTCGAAGGTCGGTTCCAGCAGAAGACGACGGCGGACTGCTGACCAGCTGTCGATTTGCTTTACTGGAAGATTCATGCTTACGCTGTTTCCGAAGTAATCCCGTTTGGTTCCGTTGAAAAGGTGCTAAGCTTTCGTCCGTCAAGTGACGGACATCATCAGAGCGAGGTAACATCGTCAGAACAAAATTCAAGCTAACGAGTCGTCTTCTGGTGGAACCGACCTTCGAATCTATTAACCCAATACTTTCACTTAAAATGGAAGTAAGTTCAGCAATTATGAAAGAAGAGAATTCTCGAAACCCAACTTTTGTTCGCAGACCTCATAGTGCCATTAAATTTCACTTACATTTGTCGCTGCAAAAGGTTTTATCATCTAGGATGGACTAGTCTCGATATAACCAAAGCTTTTTATCAGCAGATAAAAGGTATTCGATATCGCATCGTGTAAGCTACGAGAAAGGTTTTGTTATCCTTCCCTTAAATAATAGTTTCTGGCTCTGATAGAATCGGAGGATGGAATATAAAACTTCAATGGTATAATCAGGAGGCAAAAAGCCTGGATGATCCACTTTCGATCTTAAATGAGTTAAATTTAGTGACTAAGTAAAATGTAGAATAAAATGAGTATGTTATCTGCTTCTTTAAAGAGAGTATGAAGAATTTGCAAGTAGGCCTCCCGGAAAACAGAATAAAGGGATGGAAGGGATTCGTAAATTGGTTTCACCTTAGGCAGTGGGAGGATTGCCTTAGATCTGTGGATGTAGATGTGTGCAAATGGGTCCTTGGTGCACCGTCCTGCAATCTTGATGAATCCTTGCTGAACTTTTGTCCGTCATGTTGCGGATATCGTCAGAGTAGGGCACTCACAGCCTCCAGGGGAACCAAATTAAGAATCTCGTCCACTCAACTCTTAAAACGAAATGAAAGGCACTCCAACACCAATGTATTAAGGGATTCTTCAAATCCCAATTTTTCTACAGAATAAAGATTGTATTGGAGTGAAAACCAATAGTTCAGGAATTTTAATTTTTTTACCCGAAACAATTCCTCAGATAACCTTGGCATGTTCTCATCAAATACATGTTATAAGATGTAAAGAAAAAAGTGCAACTGCCTAAAAATTATCAATGAGTGCTATTTTCTCTTGATACAATGTTTTAAGGTCTCAATCTCTTAATTCAAGAACTAGCCTTTATAAAGTGACAGGATAGAAACACTAAGACATAATTGGAGTGGCTCATCCGTATTTTGTGGTAAAAGTAGCTGTTTCCATTCAGCATATATTTTAATATCATGTTAATTTTATATTCAGTCATAATATACAATTGCTCCCACCTAAAATTATCCTAAAATTTTTATTCCCTGATCCAGGTGATCAAAATCTGCGATACACAGACATTCCATTAGTATTATCTTACTCATATTTTGACACTTTAGGTACGAGTAACAGAGAATTTTAAAAAGGACCCCACATTAGATGGTTTTATATGCATCACTCTGCACAAATTCGTTCCCTCTAACTACCAGGAAATCAAAAATAGGTAGATAACCAACGAGGGTGAAACCAATTTCCTCATTCTTTCTAATTAATTACTTTACGGAGCTATCCAAACTATGCAGTATTGCAAAGCTGTTACCCAAAACCCTAACCAATAAATCAGCAATTAAAAATGCTTCTCGAATACTCGAATCTTCAGATGAACGATGTAGCTATTCGGAAAAATTAGGGAAAACGACAATTTTGTGGCTAGACTTCGGTCTATGATCAAATTTACCACTAACCTTAAAACATGAACAACTTCTTACTAAATATTACACTCTCCTAAGATACTATTTATATAGAATTTTAATTCAGTAAAATCTCCGGTTTACATCGCTCCACTAACCTATCTTTTAGTGTACGTGAAGTTTATGGCGAGACAAATGTGCGACTTCCTTACACCCAGCTTTCTAAACGAAAACTTAAATATGAAACATTCTACACTCACTATCCTCTTTATCCAAAACAGTGATGTAGTTAATAAATATAATATCTCAATGAAAAGCATTTATTATGTGGTCAATAAGATATTTGTACAAAAGTAAGGGGAATAATTTGAAATCTAAGAGATTTTTGGTATAAAATATTTGTATATATAGTCAAAAGCATCTCCACTAGAGGACACTAAAAGGTGTTACCAGCGGCCAGTAATTGTAATCATATTTTAAAATAAATATTATAATTTGGTATGTTACAATCTAATTGAGAAAAGAAGTTGCTTATGTTAGAAACCGACCAAAATGTGTCTTTTCTACTTTGACGAGTCCTCATTGTGGCACCAAGGTAGAAATTACATATGCTGCAGATAGGAAGTACTGTTGTAATCACTTTCCCCTCCAAATGCCACGCTAAATATTCTGCATAAGCAGTATTGTTGTTGTCAAGATATTTCAAATAAGCCGCCAATGCTTGTTGTGAATCAAATTGATCGACGTGTATAAACGAATTTGGAGGAGCATACCGTAAAATGTCGCTTATTGGAGCACCCATAACAATGGGAACAATACGGTGACTGTAGAGATAAAAAAATGTATAATTAGTTCGTAGCCGCAGGTAATAATGTTTTTAGAGGGTTTAGACAGCATTAAATGACTCAAAGGTTGATACTTTTCAAGCGAATTTACTGAGACAAAAATCCGCAGGATCAAAGAAATAGCATAGCAACCAGTAAAAAACTTTAAAGCACTCAGATTTAAAATTCATTAAAATTAGTGAGCGTTGAATTTAGAATGAGCATCAAACTCGAGCAATCGAGCCATTAATATCAAATGTAACAAAAA